TTCTCTTCTAGCAACCATTTTTTTTAATAAGTATTCTCTAGTACTAGTACATTTTTATTTTTATATTATAGAAAGAGTGGTGGTTTCGACATGTTTGTTTCTGGATATTAAATTCAAAATTGAGGATAATTTTATCTTTTTGCAGTGTTTTAATGTAACTTGTTTATCGTATATGTGTCTTTTATTATACAACTGAATAGTCCGCCACGTAGCATATCACTCTTTTCGGCTTTTGCCTTTTGTCTCGCTTCTGGAATTGCTTTTCAGGTTCCTCTCCTCTCTTAAGCTATTTCACTTCTAGTTGATTCGCACGGCCACCTTTTTAACTTTTCTCTTCTCTTTGTTTTCTTCTTTTATGTAAATAGATGTAAGAGTTATAGTTTGTATATTTCTCTGTATTGTTGCTTACTTTGGATAATTTTCTCTTTTTGCAGTGTTTTAGTGTAGCTTGTGTATCGTATATATGTATTTCATTATGCAACTGAATAGTCCACCACGTAGCATATCACTCTTTTCGGTTTTTGCTTTTTGTCTCGCTTCTGGAATTGCTTTTCAGGTTCCTCTCCTCTCTTAAGCTATTTCACTTCTGGTTGGTTCAAAACGTTGCCTTTTTTACTTTTCTCTTCTCTTTGTTGTTTTCTTTTATGTAAATAGATGTAAGAGTGGTAGTTTGTGTATTTGTTTTTGTTGTTGCTTACTTTGGATAATTTTATTTTTTTTGCAGTGTTTTAATATAACTTGTGTATCGTATGTGTGTCTTTCATTATGCAATTGAATAGTCCGCCATGTAGCATATCACTCTTTTTGATTTCTGGAATTGCTTTTCAAGTTCCTCTCCTCTCTTAAGCTATTTCACTTCTGGTTGGTTCGCAATGTTACCTTTTTCACTTTTCTTTTCTCTTTGTTGTCTTCTTTTATGTAAAAGATGTAAGAGTTGTAGTCCGTATGTTTCTCTTGTTGTTGCTTACTCTGGATAACTTTATCTTTTTGCAGTGTTTTAATGTAACTTGTGTATCGTATATGTGTCTTTCATTATGCAACTGAATAGTCGCCACGTAGCATATCACTCTTTTCGATTTTTGCTTTTTGTCTCACTTCTGGAATTGGTTTTTAGGTTCCTCCCCTCTCTTAAGCTATTTCACATCTAGTTGGTTCGGATGGTTGCCTTTTTCACTTTTCTCTTCTCTTTGTTGTCTTCTTTTATAGTAAATAGATGTAAGAGTGGTAGTTTGTATTTTTCTCTTTGTTGTTGCGTACTTTGGATAATTTTTTCTTTTAGCAGTGTTTTAATGTAACTTGTGTATCTTATATGTGTCTTTCATTATGCAACTGAATAGTCCGCCACGTAGCATATCACTCTTTTTGGTTTTTGGTTTTTGTCTCGCTTCTGGAATTCTTTTTCAGGTTCCTCTCCTCTCTTAAGCTATTTCACTTCTGGTTGGTTCGCAAGGTTACCTTTTTCATTTTTCTCTTTTGTTTGTTGTCTTCTTTTATATAAATAGACATAAGAGTTGTAGTTTGTATGTTTCTCTTTGTTGTTGCTTACTCTCGATAATTTTATCTTTTTGCAGTGTTTTAATGTAACTTGTGTATCGTATATATGTTTTTCATTGTGCAACTGAATAGTCGCCACGTAGCATATCACTTTTTTTGATTTTTGCTTTTTGTCTCGCTTCTGCAATTGCTTTTCAGGTTCCTCTCCTCTCTTAAGCTATTTCACCTCTGGTTGGCTCGCAAGATTACCTTTTTCACTTTTCTCTTCTTTTTGTTGTCTTCTTTTATGTAAATAGATGTAAGAGTTGTAGTTTGTATGTTATTCTTTGTTGTTGTTTACTCTGGATAATTTTATCTTTTTGTAGTGTTTTAATGTAATTTGTGTATCGTATATATGTCTTTCATTGTGCAACTGAATAGTCGCCACGTAGCATATCACTCTTTTCGATTTTTGCTTTTTGTCTCGCTTCTGCAATTTATTTTCAGGTTCCTCTCCTCTCTCAAGTTATTTCACTTCTGGTTGGTTTGCAAGATTATCGTTTTTACTTTTCTCTTCTCTTTGTTGTCTTCTTTTATGTAAATAGATGTAAGAGTTGTAGTTTGTATGTTTCTCTTTGTTATTGTTTACTCTGGATAATTTTATCTTTTTGTAGTGTTTTAATGCAACTTGTGTATCGTTTATATGTTTTTCATTGTGCAACTGAATAGTCATCATGTAGCATATCATTCTTTTCGGTTTTTGCTTTTTGTCTCGCTTCTGGAATTTCTTTTCAGGTTCCTCTCCTCTCTTAAGCTATTTCACTTCTGGTTGGTTCGCAAGGTTATCTTTTTCACTTTTCTCTTCTCTTTGTTGTCTTCTTTTATGTAAATAGATGTAAGAGTTGTAGTTTGTACATTTCTCTTTGTTGTTGCTTAATTTCATTAATGTGTGTGTATTACATTAAGACAATGAGCCTTTTTGGATTGGCTTGTTTTAAGTGCTTTTAAGTGAAAATTGCTTTTAAGCCATTTTGTAGTATTTGAGTAAAGTAAAAAAGTGCTTTTAAATACATACTTTTAAGCTAAAATAACAAAACAAGCCAAAAGCTAAAAGTTAGAATTCCTAACTTATGGCTTAAAATCTATTTTGACTTAAAAGTTACTTAAAAAAGCACATCCAAACGGGCTCAATGTCTTTTTTTGTTCTTCATATTTTAAGACAATAACTAAATTGCTAATGTTTCTTGGAGACTATGTCCTATAACAAGCTTGGTCTTGGAACAACAGGCTTGCAACAAAGAGATATCGAGCAGTAAGGGAGTTAATGCAGATTAATACTCTGACAACACAATATACCTACTTAATACATGCTTCAGTAAAAGACGTGTTTAGATCAAGAGCTCACTTCTGGGTTCTAGCCATGCTATTCACCATATATATATATAACTCCTTCCAAAACTTATGTGTCGTTCGCTTTTTCCTTTTTTGCAGTTTTCTTGACTTTAATCGCTCTTTGGTTATTGTAATGATAAACTGCCTGCAATACTGTGGTTACATAATTTCACAAACAACAAAACATAATATCGCAATTAAAACACATAAAGAACTATTAAGGCACGTCGCCTTTTGGAGTTTGGACACCCATCCTAGCCAATGCGCAAATTATTCATACCCAGACGGCCAGACTCCCCTATTGAGCAGTCATCATAGAAGATGATATTTTTATAACAGCAGCAGCCTTTTTGGACAAGAATTATTCAGGTTAACTGAATATAGTAGTAAAATACAATAGATTTAATAGTGACCTATTATTATATGACAAAAGAAATTGTTAATTAAAAGCATAATTAAAAATTAGCATCAAATCTCTGAAAGCGTCAACATATATCGGTCTAACTGCCCTTACTTTTGCTTCTAATTTCTTTTTTATTGTCAGGTCAGATGGAGGCAAAAAATAAGAATTACTCCTATGATAGGAAGAAGTGTGAATTATTTAACTTTTGAAGTTATTCAACGTCATTGCAACAGTTGAAAAAATTGCTTAGTACTTCAGCATCATTTCAACAATAACCAAAATTGTGTGTTTCAATTTATATGAACCTATTTCCTTTTTAGGTCAAGAATAACTCCTTCCCGTACTTGAAATCAATTTACCTTTTCGCAATAATTTATATGTGCCTCATTTTACACCACAAGTTCAAAAGTCTTCTTTTTTCCCCCTTAAACTCCGTGGCTATAGCGCTTGGGCCCGTGTTGAACACGTGCTTACTCCACCTAGTTTGCTAACAGTACTCCCTCTGTTCCAGTTTATGTGAACCTATTTCCTTTTTGGTCCGTTCCAAAAAGAATGAACCCTTTCTAAATTTGGTAACAATTTAGCATAAAGTTACAACTCTACCCTTAATGAGAAGCTTTTATAATCACACAAATACTCTGGACCCCATTTGGACATGTTTAAGACCACAAATTCTAAAGTCTTCATTTTTTTCTTAAACTCCGTACGCAGTCAAACAGGTTCACATAAATTGGAACGGAGAGAGTACTAGATATATTTTCTAGTTATGACTTGTCTACTCTCTCTTTCTTTTCTTTCACTTGGGCTAAATATATGATACAATACTAAAGTGCTCAATGTTGACAATAAAGTGCCTTTGAGGTCCAGTCAAACTTTTAGCTTTTGGAGTTGTTTTACACGATCTCTCTTTTTCTTTCCTGTTATATAGAAAAAGTTAGCTAGCTGGGAAAAATGAAGTTATGTTAAACACTAGATGGTGGTTAATTGTCCACTTGTAAGTTGTAAGGAGTGAAGTAGGGGTGAGTATAGATAGGGCAAAACCGAAATTCGATTTATTTTGATTTTTGATTTGTATTTTCGGATAACATATTGAATTTCGGATTTAATTTTTAAATTTTTGAATTTCAAATTGAATGTTGAATATCCAAAAATTCGAAATTAGTTTATTATCCATATGACAATAGTAATAAGTCAAATACCTTACCTATTAGATATTGTGTCATATATTCAATATACTAATACTAAGTTACTGTCATATTAATACTTTCATTTGGACATGATTTTACTATTTCTATTTCTTATCAGCCCCTATTAATACTTTTTGCATTTTCTTGATGATGATTTCATTACTTGTATACTTTATTTAGATGATTGCAGTGTGAATGCTGAACTTTATAGGTAATTTAATATGAACACTTCATTTATATGTTCATTTTTATAAAAAGAAGAAGAAACATATCAACTTATAGGCTCAAAATCAAAAATTCGTAATACCCAAATCTATTAAATAAAACTGAATTTAGAAAATCAGATTCAATCTTAGCTTATTTGAATCAGATCTGGATTGTTATTTCTTCGATCAGTCACTCGAAAATCCAAACCGAAATTTTCATATCTAACGTGAACTGCCCGAACGCCCACCCCTTTAGAGTGAAGGGATCCAATTGCAACATCTTCAAAGTACTGGGGTGTAGCTGAAAATACCTACCAAAGAAACGTAACGGATCAACGGTACATTATTCGTCTTCTGCCTATAAAAACGGAGTCCTAATTTAACTGTAAAATTCTCGCTTTCTCCTCGGTCCTGTCCAGAATCTGAATTGCAACGTGTATCTCTGAGGTAAAGTTTATCCTCTTTCTCTACTTCAGTTGTGCTCTAATTACCTCCCTATATGTATGTATATATTTGTGCATTTTGAGCTGATCTAGGGTTTTTTGTTAGGGATTTGGTGAATCATGGCATCCAAACGGATTCTCAAAGAGCTCAAGGATCTCCAGAAAGATCCTCCTACCTCTTGCAGCGCTGGTGATATTTCAAACCCTTTTCTTTTTTCATTTTACTTCAAATTCCGTTTTTGATCTTCAGTTTTCTTGCTGCCTTTATTAATGATTATGTATTTGTGAACTTTTTTTACTTTCTTTTACTAGTTTTTGCTGCTGATGCATGCCAAAATTATCATTTTAGTTGCTCAACTACATGATTAGATGGTTAACATTTTTACATTTCTAACTTGGGAAAGTGCATAAAGTTGAAGGTTTTTTTAGGTCCTTTGCACTGCACAAACATAAATTGATCCTAACGACCTGTTCCGGGGTGGGGGGCCGGAACTTGTAAATAACCTGCATATGGTAGAGGTGACAGCCTATCATATCCAATCTCATGCTTGAGACTTGTTTACAGTCTGCATCTATTAAGGTGACAGCCTATCATATCCAATCTCATGCTTGAGACTTGTTTACAGTCTGCATCTATTAAGTTGTTTTTTGATTTTTTGTGTGTTCTTACATCTGTTGTTCGTATCATGAGTTTCTGAGCATCTGTTTGTAGTACACCCAGTTTTTCAGACACTTGTTTAAATGTCATCATGTGGCAAGTTGTTCTCTGATTCTCTGTGCTTGCTTATGTTATCCATATTAGGCCCAGTTGCTGAAGACATGTTTCATTGGCAAGCAACAATTATGGGTCCACCTGACAGCCCTTATACTGGCGGAGTGTTTCTTGTTACCATTCATTTTCCACCTGACTATCCATTTAAGCCACCGAAGGTATTATATTTGTGTTGTGTTGTTGATGACACTTGACAAGTTGCCTGTTTGTTTGCTTATTGACATGATATTTTTGAATTTTCGATAGCTTATTTGGCAGAATCGAATTCGCTTATCATTTTCTAGGCTTGTAATTTTATTGTATCAACTGGATTGAAATGTCTTTGTTCACTTTAATAACTTTTAAGGTAAACATATATATTAAAGCTCAACTCAAATAGTGTCAACTTTTGACCGTGATCCTTTTCATTTCCCCTACCAAGTCGTAACTCAGATCGTAAAGGGTCAACGCCTTCATTCAGTAGGTCAATCAAATTTAATTCGTGTTAGCTTTTCCTTTTTTTTTATATATAAAAAATACCTATGTGAATGACTTGTTTGCTAATTGGATTTATACATTTGTGCACAATAGAAACTTTAGCTATGCTTGAAGAATTAGGTTGGCAGTGGAAAAGGATGCCATGAAAAATATGGAGATTAGAAAGCTTGTGGTCCAAATGGTATCCCCTTAGAGGTTTGGAAGTGTTTTCAAAAGTTTGGAGTAGGATGGCTTACCAAGCCATTCTAAGAAGTGACAGGATATCCGACTAGTGGACAACGAGTACCCTGATTCCAATTTATAAGAACAAAGGAGATATTCAAAGCTGTGCGAACCATCGTGACATTAAACTTATGAGTCATACGATAAAACTCTGAAAAAAGTGATAGAGCGTAGACTTAGGGACACTACAACACCGATCGAGAACCAGTTTGGATTTATGCCCGGTGAATCTACAAGAGTTATATTTTTGCTAAGAAAATTGATGAAAATTTATCGTGAGTGGAAGAAAGATGTGTACATGGTGTTCATTGACGTGGAGAAAGCATATGATAAAGTGCTAAGAAAAATCCTTTGGTGGGTGTTGGAGAAGAAAGGAATTCATGTTAAATATATAAATGCCATAAAGAATATGTATGAAGGAGCCGCCACTAGTGTTTAGAACAACAGCAGGAAATACAAAGGAGTTTTTGTAGCCGTGGATTTACATCAGGGATCGGTATGAATGAGCTAATCAATACATTAAAATATGAAGTCACATTGTGTATGCTATTTATTGATGATGTTGTGATAGCCGATGAAACTAGCGAGAGTGTCAACCAAAAGCTTAAACTATGGAGAAACACTTTAGAGATCCAAGAGTTTTTAGGATAAGTCCATCAAGAATATTTGGAAAATGATAAATGCTTGTATATGTTGGAGCATATGGAATGAAAGAAATAGAAGATGCTTTGATGGACTATCAACTCCTGACCACACCCTAAAAGCTAATTGCCTTATGTATTTATTTAGCTGGGCAAATGTTTCCCTATAGAATCCCCTGAAACCTTTTTGAACTTTGTTAGCTCTTTGTATCTAAGATAGCATGTCTATGGTAAGTTAATATGTTGGTCTTTTTTGCTTTTTGAAGCTACTATGTAGCTTTTGCTTCTTGTAATATTTTGCATCTTCTTGATGACATCAATGAAGCCAATTGTTTCATAAAAGAAAAGATAAGTAGAAGTATAATTGAGTATATGTACTGTAAGTTTAGTTAGCATGAGAAGAGTGAAGTAAGTGAGATTAAACGCACACAATACAAATATCTAGGCTCGTTGTTTTAGGAGAATGAATGATAGATAAAAATGTTACGCATAGAATCAAAAGCACATGGTTAAAATGGAGAAGTACTACCGGCTGTTATGTGAGAACGATGCTTACTAAAGTGAAATGTAAGTTCTATAGAACAATTATAAGACCAATAGTTTTATATGACACACATGTTGTGTTGCTAAAATCCAACACATCCACAAGATGAGTTTTGTAAAGATGCGATGATAAGACGGATGTGTGGTTATACAAGATTAGATGAGATTAAAAATAATCACATACCCCAGAAGGTACAACTAGCACATATTGAAGATCAAATGAGAGAATGTTTAATGCCATGCGTCAACCTCTTGTACCAGTCCGTAGATGTGAAACCATGATGAGTAAAAGTGTTAAAAGAGGACGAGGTAGGCCTAAAATCATATAGAATGGAGTTGTCTTGAAATACTTACAATCTTTTTGATTTGATGCAGACTGAGCAGAATATAAGGCACAATGGACGAAATAGATTTGTATAGGCGATACTAATTAGTTGGTAATATATTTTAGTTATATTACTGTGTTTACTTTAGGTCCTATGCTTAATAGGAGTCTTTTATCCTTGTTAAAAATTATTATGCCAATAGAAAATATGGAGTACTTTTATTTTTATTTCTATTTAATATAATGTTAGCCTGTTGATCAAGAAAATTTTTTGGCCGTAGATTAATTTAAATGGCCGACCCAACTTATTTAGGATTGAGGCGTAGTTTGTAATGACTTGTTTGCAAAGAACTAAAATTAAGCTCAAGTTAAAGAGCTGGAACTGAATTTTGAATTATGTAGGTAGTCATGGTGTATTATCATCTTCGAATGTGTTATAAATTCTTAGATGATGCTAATATTTTATATTTTTGCAAGAACATTTTTTTTCTTCATATTTCTAATAGTGTAGATTTTTTACACTCATTTTTGGAGGATTTAATAGAACTAGCCAACTAGGCACATCGCGTGATGGTATATTAGCTTTAAAAAGAAGTTAATGAACAACCCATGAGTGCAATTTTTGCACACTGCTTGAATCACATAATGAAATCTCTCTTCATATCTTTTAACTGGGCATAATATGTTCTTTGATCCATCTGCCAAAGCACATAATCAAGTTTTGAAGAAATTTTATGTGCAAACTCGTAGAGGAACTTGGGTGTCTTCCCTCTACAGGATGTTGTTCTGCAACTTCTTTACAGGATGTTGTTCTGCAACTTCTTTGCTTTTGTTTCTTTTTATTTTTTATTTTTTTCCCTGTGGACAAATTTCTCCTCATTATATGGGATAAATGTCCAGGTAGCTTTTAGGACAAAGGTTTTCCACCCAAACATCAACAGCAATGGTAGCATTTGCCTTGACATTTTGAAGGAACAGTGGAGCCCGGCACTTACAATTTCCAAGGTTAGTTGTATTTCCTGAATATCGGTTACCACTCATTCGACATTTTGAATTTGCATATTTACACCTTGAGATTTTTGAGGACTAGTATTCTCCCTAATTGAATAAAATGTCCTTAAGGGAGTGAATGGCAGAATGGTGCAATGTAAATATTAGATCAGTAAGATGTATATGTCCAAAGCTACTATCTATTCCTTGCTTTCCTTTTCGTTAAATCAGCCTCAAATGGGGAGGATTCCTGTGTATATTCAAATTTATGGTATTGTCTTTCCATGTGGCCAAGTTTGTGGAGTAGTTCTAGGTTAATTCAACTGAAACAAATGCAGAGATTGAAATTATATTTTTCTGATGCCTTCTTTATGGTGCTTAGAGGTTAGTAAAATAAAAATGTACACAGCTTCTTATAGATATTTAAGTGACGCGAGGTGGAAACCGATATCTGATATTCTGCCCCTTCGTTCAAATTTTAAAAGTTGAATACCAGAAGCAATCGGCTCGTTTCAAAGTAAAACACCCATTATTATTTTGTATTGGTAAACAGAGCAAGTGGGTGCTCAATTTGTTCTTTTTGCAATACCATTAATCATAATCAATTAATCAAGTGATGTCAGGTATTCATCAGATCAAATTTTAGTGGGTGTATTATAGAATCTTAATTAATTTGTTCCTTGCAGGTATTGCTGTCAATCTGTTCTCTGTTAACAGACCCTAATCCTGATGATCCATTGGTGCCGGAGATTGCTCATATGTACAAGACTGATAAAAGCAAGTACGAAACAACCGCCCGGAGCTGGACTCAAAAGTATGCCATGGGTTAGTTGCTGTGACCATCTCTGGAGGGGCTCCTTTTCTTCTGTGGTATTCTGTATATCTATTATGTATTAAGAAATGGTGTTCTTATGCATAATCAACTCAAGGGGAAAGGTTGAACAGGCCCCTCTTGTAACAATTTGATTTGCTGTTTGTTTGCAAGAATCTAATGGTTTTGAAACTGTATGATGGGTTCAATCTATGTGTCTTGACCCTTTTCATCTGCACTTAGTTATTCACTTACATTGAGAGCATCCCCAAACTTTTTCGATGAAGTTAATCTAGGGGGTTTCTCAAGATTACAAACCAAATGGGTAAGTTGCGAATCTACATCTCAAATTACTTTTATTTGGTATGCAAACAATTCGTGGTTATGATGTTCGAACAAACAGCCAATTGCAGCTACAAACAAATCGAGGAGTCGCTGACAGAGCGAGGACAAAAACATTTTAAAGATGTCTTGAAAGGTCATGGTGTTTTAATCAAATTTTGGTCACTACGCAACCAATTTATGTTGCCATGCATTTTAAGCGTTTCGAGGTATAATATATTTTTTTTGGTTGAAGGTAGCTGAACTTTTTATTTCAGTTGAACATGTCAAATGTATGTCAATGTATGGTACTTGCGAGGTTATAGATTATAGGTGTATGTTTTTGGCTATAGAGACATTTTTAGTAGGGGTGTACATAGGTTGGGTTGGTTCGGATTTTACAATTACCAAACCAAACCAATTGTGTCGGATAATTAAATTTAAAGACCAAATCAAACCAATAAAACTCGGGTTTTTCACTCTCGGTTTTTCTCGGGTTTTCGG